CGTGTGTAGCCAGTTACTCGTGATACATACTTGTGTAGGCAGTTACTCGTGATACATACGTATGAATGCAGTTACTCGTGATACATATATATGTAGCCAGTTACTCGTGATACGTATGTAGCCAGTTACTCATGATACATACGTATGTAGCCAGTTATTCGTGGTACATATGTATGTAGACAGGTTATCGTGATACATACGTATGTAGCCAGTTACTCGTAATACATACGTATGTAGCCAGTTACTTATGATACATACGTATGTAGCCAGTTACTCGTAATCCATACGTATGTAGACAGTTACTCGTGATACATATATGTGTAGCCAGTTACTCGTGATACGTATGTAGCCAGTTACTCGTGATACATACGTGTGTAGCTAGTTACTCGTGGTACATATGTATGTAGACAGTTACTCGTGATACGTATGTAGCCAGTTACTCGTGATACATACGTGTGTAGGCAGTTACTCGTGATACATATATATGTAGCCAGTTACTCGTGATACGTATGTAGCCAGTTACTCGTGATGCATACGTGTGTAGCCAGTTACTCGTGGTACATATGTATGTAGACAGTTACTCGTGATACACTTATGTGTAGCCAGTTACACGTAATGCATACGTGTGTAGGCAGTTACTCGTGATACATATATATGTAGCCAGTTACTCGTGATACGTATGTAGCCAGTTACTCGTGATACATACGTATGCTGCCAGTTACTCGTGATACACACGTGTGTAAGCAGTTACTCGTAATACATACGTATGAAGGCAGTTACTCGCGATACATATATGTGTAGACAGTTACTCGTGATGCACACGTGTGTAGCCAGTTACTCGTGATACATACGCGTGTAGGCAGTTACTCGTGATACGTATGTGGCCAGTTACTCGTGATGCATACGTATGTAGCCAGTTACTCGTGATACATACGTATGTAGACAGTTCCACATGATACATACGTGTGTAGCCAGTTACTCGTGATACATATGTATGTAGACAGTTACACATGATACATACGTGTGTCGCCAGTTACTCGTGATACATACTTGTGTAGGCGGTTACTCGTGATACATACGTATGAATGCAGTTACTCGTGATACATATATATGAAGCCAGTTACTCGTGATACGTATGTAGCCAGTTACTCATGATACATACGTATGTAGCCAGTTATTCGTGGTATATATGTATGTAGACAGGTAATCGTGATACATACGTATGTAGCCAGTTACTCGTAATACATACGTATGTAGCCAGTTACTTATGATACATACGTATGTAGCCAGTTACTCGAAATCCATACGTATGTAGACAGTTACTCGTGATACATATATGTGTAGTCAGTTACACGTAATACATACGTATGTAGACAGTTACTCGTGATACATATATGTGTAGTCAGTTACACGTAATACATACGTGTGTAGGCAGTTACTCGTGATACATATATATGTAGCCGGTTACTCGTGATACGTATGTAGCCAGTCACTCGTGATACATACGTGTGTAGCCAGTTACTCGTGGTACATATGTATGTAAACAGTTACTCGTGATACGTATGTAGCCAGTTACTCGTGATACATACGTGTGTTGGGAGTTACTCGTGATACATATATATGTAGCCAGTTACTCGTGATACGTATGTAGCCAGTTACTCGTGATACATACGTATGTAGCCAGTTACTCGTGGCACATATGTATGTAGACAGTTACTCGTGATACACATATGTGTAGCCAGTCACTCGTAATACGTATGTAGCCAGTTACTCGTGATACATACGTATGCAGACAGTTACTCGTGAGACACACGTATGTAAGCAATTACTCGTGATACATAGATATGAAGGCAGTTACTCGTGATACATACGTGTGTAGACAGTTACTCGTGATGCACACGGGGTAGTGGTGAAAATGCCTTGAAATTAGCTGAATGGATTCCATACCAAAACAACAGGAATGCTAGGGTTACTATAACAAGTTTATTCTTTGAAAATACTTATGATTGTTTTACAGAGGCAAAAATATTTTCTTGGGTAAAATAATTTTAAACTGGCCTCATCAGTAGAGATTCACTTTAAGGCCATGGTTGTGCGCAAATTACTGACATGTTGAGTAAAATAGTAGTTGCGGTTGATACATGCACAACTTTATTCGTTGTGTGAAACAAACACTCATAGTCGTTTGAAACAAGCAATCGTACTAATAATGGCGTGTTTGTACATACAATGAGCAAATGACAACAATGGTTTACCTCTAGATCGCTCACGCAGTTGGTCACATTCAATGGCAGCAATCTAACAGCATGTTCCTAAACGGCCAGGAAGTAGGCTTTATGTATTAAAGTAACAAAATAACCGGGCACTCTACGTTGTTGTAAATCAATTAGTTGTTTGTTTTGAGAGATATGGCGTTTTGTTCCATTGTGGAATATTTCGTTAAAGTCTTGCTTTTGATCTTCCAGGTTGTTAGTAGATGACTGACTGGAACGTTTCACCCCTTATCCCTTCTGAACGTTTAACGACTGCTTAGTTTAAAATAACCATCTACTATATTTAATCTACTATGTTGAATTGTGATTCGATGTATTTTATTTCAGCATGCTATCGGTAACCATAATGCAAATCTATTTGGAAATGTTTTCTAATGTGTTTTTGTTCCTTGTTGCAACGGCTGCTTTTACTTTGGCGATTATGATGACGAAAACCTTCTCCAAGCAATGATCATGATGACACGATTATGCTTGACCCCCACATCACTTGCCCCTGGCCTGTCAATACACCACTGACCTATGCTCTCCCAAAACGTGAAAGACCTTTGATGCCACGATATATGATTAAGCTTGACCCCCACATGACTTGCCCCTGGCCTGTCAATACACCACTGACCTTTCCGCTTCCCAAAAGTGAAAGACCTTTGATGCCACGATATATGATTAAGCTTGCCTCCACATGACTTGCCCCTGGCCTGTCAATACACCATTGGCCTATGCTGTCCCCAAAAGTGGGGCCTTTGACGCCACGACATATGATTTAGCTTGACCCCGACATGACTTTCCCCTGGCCTGTCAATACACCACTGGCCTATGCCCTCCCCAAAAGTGGGGCCTTTGACGCCACGACATATGATTTAGCTTGACCCCCGACATGACTTTCCCCTGGCCTGTCAATACACCATTGGCCTATGCCCTCCCCAAAAGTGGGGATCTTTGACGCCACGACATAGATTTAGCTTGACCCCGACATGACTTTCCCCTGGCCTGTGAATACACCATTGGCCTATGCCCTCCCCAAAAGTGGGGATCTTTGACGCCACGACATATGATTTAGCTTGACCCCCGACATGACTTTCCCCTGGCCTGTGAATACACCATTGGCCTATGCCCTCCCCAAAAGTGGGGATCTTTGACGCCACGACATATGATTTAGCTTGACCCCGACATGACTTTCCCCTGGCCTGTCAATACACCATTGGCCTATGCCCTCCCCAAAAGTGGGGATCTTTGACGCCACGATATATGATTAAGCTTGACCCCCACATAACTTGCCCCTGGCCTGTCAATACACCACTGACCTTTCCGCTTCCCAAAAGTGAAAGACCTTTGATGCCACGATATATGATTAAGCTTGACCCCCACATGACTTGCCCCTGGCCTGTCAATACACCACTGGCCTATGCTGTCCCCAAAAGTGGGGTCTTTGACGCCACGACATATGATTTAGCTTGACCCCGACATGACTTTCCCCTGGCCTGTCAATACACCACTGACCTGTGTGCTCACAATTCATCACTGTCTTGGCCAACAAAAACTCGCAAAAGAAATGGAAGGCGCTTTTTTAAACAACAAACAAACAAACAAACAAACAAACATTATTTCACGAAATGTACATCAAGGAACACGTATATAATACTCTCTTAAGCATTTACCGATCTGCTATAGTACCATTCACAGAAGTGACGTCATAGCCTATGATATCGATATCACTCATGGGTGGCTGAAGGTGTCCAAACACCCACTTCTAGTTGCGATATATTACATATTATGGTTCATAAATACGTGTCACATCAGGTCAATTGAGCAGTAATAGATATATAATGTTTATGTATTAACTGAAACTCTGAATAATATCTTTCTCGTGTCAATGTCGGAATGCATGTGAAGCATCTGAACTACAGATGGAGAGAATAAGCAAAGTGAAAAGATCCTTTCAAAAGCCCAAGACATCTCTGCTAAATAAAAGCGACAAAACCCTTTCCATAGCCACAAAAATCTCAGCTAAATGCAGAGTCGCTTGCACGATTCCGACTGTATCATAAGCATGTGATTATGAATCACTAAGAAATAGTGATGATACCAAGTGTTTGAGGAAAGGTAAGCGTATCCTGCTCCATCGGTGGCACCGTTACAAACACATGCAAAGGCAAGGCAATATCAGCAAGGTAATATATTTCTAAAGACGTCCGTCATGTCTCAAGAATGAAAATACAGATTACAACAAAACAACACGGTTCCACCCCTACAGCAAGCTGTTTCATTTTTGCAAAGAAGAATATGCATGAACACACACACACACACGCACGCACGCACGCACGCACGCACGCACACACGCACACACACACACACACGTTGTTCGTATGTTATAATCATCCGTACAAATCATCTGTTGTTAAGTCACATAAAATAGGACAGATCCGAAAAAAAATTCAATCTCAACAATGCACAAATTGGTAGTGATCAACCGCTTATATCATATACGATATATCATTTTTTTAATATGCAATTCCAACGACGGGTTAAAGTTGTCTACCGCGCAATAGGCATGAGTGTGACATTGTCCATGCATCCATCCATCCATCCACACATACACACTCATGACTCTAGGTTCGAAGAGAGGAACCTTTTCACAATGAATTGCAGGGCATCAGCTGCGCGAGCCACTCGTATCCTTTTTACCAAAGGTCTGCGTCTTGGGCCATACCCGTCTTCTATGAAAGACCATCACTCGTTCTTAGGGGGTGTAACATTCACCAATTTTGTCTTCAAACCCAAAGATTTATAATACAGGTTGCAGGTTTTCTTGAAAGTTGTTCTCTGACTTATATATACACCAGTCTCATTGCGTTTTGTTACCAATGGGGCACACGACGTGGCACCAGCTGCATATTTAATAGACTTGTAAAGGTTGCGGAGAAGACCCGCGTTATAATTACTATTTTTGCGAGTCCTCCCTTCGAAATTACCAGCTTTTGTGGTCTGATGAACAGCCAGAATCGAGGCAGTCGCATCTACTACAGTGTGGTTATGCTGCCGAGAGTTCAGCACAAGCCAGTTATCATACGCAGGACGTCCAATGACAATTCCAGGAATGCTGCCCCAAGGAAATGTTGAATCAGTTATAAAATAGTCCTCGGCAACAGTTAGAAATAGTTTGCCTCTTTGTCGGGCAATGGTAGAAAGACTGTCCATATTTGTTCCTTCATCCGCTGTAACACGTAGAACATTAGTCCTTTGACCGATAATCAGTATTGGATTCGATGGTGGAAAATAGCTAGACACAACGGTTCTCAACGTTCTGATCAACCCATCGTCGAACAGAATATCTCCATTTGAGTAACCGTAGAGTTTTGATTTGAACTTACGGATAACATCCAAATACATATATTTCAACACAGGTACACCGGAAGCAGCGATCTTAGTGACCGGAAGTACCTCCCAGCCATGTTGGATAATGTCTTTTGTGTCATTCTCGTTGGTGCTAAAGAAGACCGGTCTGATATGAGGTCTGAGATTTGCCCAGTTCTTCAGTGTGATATTCCTCACCTCGTATTTCTTGTCGTTTGAAGGCCAGGAGGTAAACATGGTTAAAAGAGGTGTGACCGGAAGTGAGTCATTGGCCTCCTTTATGTCTCTTGTCCAATAAGGCTTCGTATAAAATGGAAGTTGGAAATTGGCAATGAACCCATGTCGTGACGTGTTGAGTAAGAAAGAGGAACGTCGGGGTTGTAGCATATGGCTGGAATTGTACAGATACAGGTAGCCAAACATCGAGACGCTGGCGAGGAACAGGACACAGATGATGCCATGACCTGCTCGTACAGGATACAGCGCTCCAAACGTTCGAGATCCCATTGAGTTGACTTACACTGAAACGGAACGAAATACATTACACATAAATGAGTGAGTGATGTGGTTCTAACGAAACAGTAACGAAGCAGTATTTCATGCTGAGGCACTTGATCTCAGCTCGTAGACTTGTACATTTGTTTGTTTGTTTGTTTGTGTGTTGTTTAACGTCGCCCTCAGCAATATTTCAGCTATATGACGGCGATCTGTAAATAATCGAGTCTGGACCACACAATTCAGTGATTGACATCATAAGCATCGATCCACGAAATTGCGATAAAATGTCATGCATAAAGCCGATCACCCGATCCCGTTAGTTGCCTCTTATGACAGTCATACCCGTCTTTTACAGCAAGCATGGGTTGCTGAAGACCTATTCTACCCCGGATCTCTTAGACTTGTACAACGACGAACATTGGTGCAGCATAGGACGAACCTAAGATCCGAATCTACGATAAGTATATCCTGGCACATTTAAGGGCCGCAACTCTCCCATGCTGCTTATTCAACATTTACATGTATACACCTGAAAACAACTTATTGTTGCATATTATATAGTTTATATAAATATGTTATGTTTTCATATAAGAAAAGGATTTGTTGTCCTATCTTTTATAATATTTCTGTTTACAGTACCATAGTCATATTGGCATTACCCTCAGAAGGTACATACACACTTTGTAACAGAAGACAGTACTGCAAATATGAAAACTTATTTTCATTGCACTTGGGCATTAATTACAATTGCGTAATTGGTGAGCGTCCAGAAAGTGTCTGGAAAAGGGTCGGTTCTGCCTTGTACAAAAAATAATGGCAAATTACATGGCGCTGGTCCCGTGACGAACATGAGGCTTTCTTCGGGAAGCGGTTGGTTTCGTATTTCTTGCTGTGGTTTTCCTGTCTTCTTCTAGGATATGTCCGCGTAGTGCAGTGAGGTTTGCTGATACGTCAGTTTCAGGATACATTTAACCTGTCAGTAAAATTCAGACACGCGCCAAGAAGTCAAGCTAAACCATGTTAAGTTTATTGTGATCGCCTATCCCTCCCGCTATGCACAGGACAATACCGCTATACCGGACAATCGGTTGTGTATTATTTGGCTAGAACTGTAAGTAAATGAAGGTAAATTTTAAGAAATATCATATTTTGCTTTAATTTAACGCAGCAATGAGAGTGATAATGACGGCTTATAACTATTAGTCTTGTAGCAAACTTACAGACAATATTGTCTTTGTCATTGCTTTTTATTGTCATTATCTGTATTCATGATCAAATGTCCCAACTCATCTCTTCAGCCCCACGACCACACTCCGTTCTCCCACGTTACATGCGCCATTCGTTAATTGTTCCAGACCTTGAAGTTTGTAATTAAATAATACGCAAAATCACCTTACTCTAGACAGTGGAACCATTCAGTGAATGAGTGAGTGAGTGAGTGAGTATGGTTTTACGCCGCTTTTAGCAATATTCCAGCAATATCACGGCGGGGGGCACCAGCAATGAACTATTCAGAGCAGCACAGACATGCTAGAATAGATCGGACCGTTTCTTATAAATATAATATAATATAATATAACTACAATAAAGTTTCGTAAAAATTAAAAAGATTAGATGCAAATAGAAATCTTGTTAGGTTTTCAACTCTTATAATTAAATGATGAGTAGTTTTATTTGTTATAATGTGTATATTTCTCTCTTTTGGGAAATAAAAAATGCGGTGCCTGCTTGTCATGTGATGGTTATTATCATCAGCTGTCACCATGTGGCAATGTCCAACGTAAGAGCTAGGACAGAGCTAGTAACTGAAACGTCCTCTGGTGACTTCAAACCCCACATTCTCTGCTCAGATCCAAGTACATTGCGACCACTGCTGGGTATAGTAGTGATCTGTTATAATATGTGTTTAAAAAAATACGGTTTTGGGGCGTTGATAAAATACACACTGACGCAAGTATATTCTTATCAAATCAACTGGATGATTGAATATGCTTTCCTGTACATACAAAATTACCTCACTACACATACATTTGACAGTTGCAGTAACACACAATACATTTAATAAGTTAAATATCCCTTTGAACAGTATTTTATTTATATCAGTTTGAGCGTTTGAGTTTGACATCAGATTGATGTGGGAAGAAGTGCCGAAGTAATGCAGGTCTTTGACTTGATGTTCGCGAAAAGGTGAGCGTATCCTGCCAAACCGGTGGCATCCGTTACAAACACATGCTAAGGCAAGTCAATTGGTAACCTGAACAAACACGGAAACACAAGAGATTGACCGATAAGTGGAAGACCCAGGGTCACAACTGCGGCGCAGGAGCGATTCATCCGGGTGTTGCATCTTCGCAACCGGACAATCAGTGCAGCATACACAGCTAACAAAGTTCCTGGTCTTCGTAGAGTCTCAGCGCAAACCATCAGAAATCGTCTAAGACAGCATGGGATACGGCCAATGAGACCATATAAAGCGCCCGTTCTGCGGGAACATCATCGTCGTGCACGTCGGCAATGGAGCAGAAATGTTCGACCATGGACCATAGTGCATTGGAGAAGTATATGGTTCAGTGATGAGTCGCGGTTCATGCTGTATCGCCATGATGGTAGGATGCATGTCTACAGACGGAGAAATGAACACTACACTCGACACTGTATTCATGAAGTCGACCGAAACGGCGGTGGAAGTGTTATATTGTGGGCAGGCATATCCGTGAATGGTAGGACAGATCTGGTGCATGCGCGTGCAGGGAAATTTAACTGCTGTACGCTACCGTGATGAAATCCTTATTCCCGCCATTGACGTCAGAAGAGAGATTTTCCAGCAAGACAACGCAAGACCGCATACTGCACGTGTTACCATGGATTATCTTGCCCACAACAATGTTACTGTGCTGCCATGGCCCTCCAAATCGCCTGATCTAAACCCCATTGAACATTTGTGGAATCTGCTAGACAGACGTGTACGACGCCGACAGCCTCAACCACAGACGCTTCAACAGCTGACCCATGCATGGCAGGATGAGTGGAGAAGGATTCCACAACGCCAGATTCGACGACTCATACAATCCATGAGCAGTATAGATGATGGGGGTTCTGGACCACTTCCACTAGAGCCAGATTTGTATACCTATACTGCTACTACAGAGGGAATTTTTATGTCAAAATGATGATGCGATTCAACGATCGTCATCACGTATTAAAAGAATCATCAATATTAATTAATAATGGATAAAATTTACTATAGCCCACGAGGATATTGGAAAGGTATAGGAGCAATACAAAAATTAGCCACCGCGGCTAAGATATCTAAAGGTTACACACAACCAAATGTTTTCCCATAGACTTCTATAGTAACGTCATGATTTTTTTTAAAAATAACTAAGCATTCAACAGCTATTACCTGTACGTGTGTGCACAGTTTGGCCTTAGAGCAGCAATAAAAAAAATAAAAATGACCAGCTTAGCCAGCTCCTTTTCCGAGTACCGGAAGCTAAACACACCACCCCCAGTTTCGCACCAAATGTCACCTACTTGAAAATAGCTGTGGTCACATTCAGCATAAGTCATCATGTTGAAAAAGACAGTACTAAATATAGAAAAACATGGTCAGTTTTAATAACTGGATGGATGTACATTTGAAAGACATAAAAATCTTACAGAATATCCTCCAATCACAGCCTGCAGATATCTCTCCAAACTGGTACTGATTTGGTGTAGTAGAACCTAAAGATGTGGCCAAGGATTGGTTAAAGAAACAAGTGATGTGGCAAATATACTTATCAGCAACGCTTTATACCCCGAGGAAGAAGTTTGATATTTTACTAAGTTCTTCGTTCATTTTACTAGGAGACCAGACTATATACTCTTTTTCGAAATTTGAAAGAAACAATTGATGACCATATTTGGTTGGTTTGACATTATTATAGACTTGTGTAAGCATTCGTTTAAATGTGATCCAACGATAGTAAACAATCTATTTTAAATCTCCAACCAGTTCTTTGATTTTAGCATTGAATAATTGACGCACTTGTTGTCTCCCCTGTTCTATAAACTTTTTTTTCTCATCTTCGGTAATTCCACTGGTCTAACGAGAATTTGATCGAATCTCCAGCTTCATTGTGTTGTATTTGGTTAGTTCTGACAACCCTTAACGAAACTCCTCCTCGGATATCTTACAATCAGCCAGTGCTTTTGAAATATGATCCTCAATGCTGTTCAACTTTGCTTTGGCGAGTATCCCAATATTATCATGTTTAAATGCTTTCTTTTGCAACTTACGAGAAATACATTTTATCGCTATTCCTGCCAGTCCTGAGCCTCCAGCCGCTACTTCCATGCCAAGTACGATAGGCGCGGCGATTATAGTTGGTAATAAACCAACACCGGCTACACAGAGTCCCATGCCAGCTGTAACAAGCACAGTGTCAACCCCCTCGAGAAAATTCACAGCTCTGCGATACTTATTTATACAATCCAAGTCTAAACGCCCTCTCCTTCTCTATTCGATGTTTTATGTTGGTTATTTGATGTTATTGAAATCCATCAACGATATCCATCTTTTCAGATGCTTCATCGAGCATCGGATATAAACTCACAATGTATATTATTATATCATATAATAGTCTTTAATTGATCTTGCTTAAATGTTTTGAGAGTATACATCAACCTTATTAAATGTATATTATGCGGCATAAATATCTTAGTAAGAGAATTCCTTCTACCTTTTTAATTTGGACCCCTTCAAGGGTTGCAACGGGTGATACTCCCATATAAATAATACTGCAACGTCGACGCTCGTGTTTCCTGAGCCAATTACTTGATAGACCTGTTAATATCTCGAAGGCATCTTCCGATGCATCCCCAAACAAGACTTCAATAATAAGTGTAGAAACATCAAGTATAGCGTTCAAGTTCTGTTTTGTATCATTGAATTCAGTAACCAAATTTAAACTCACATTTTTTAATGCTGGACGACTAAATAACATATAACCTGGGTTTTCCGGCAG